TCCCCATTAAAGGATTCGTCCACGAGGTGAGGGGTCGGTACAGAAGAGGCCTATTCCCTCACGACCATATTCCGAGAAGGATCTTCCATTTGTATCGGCTGAGGACGACCCCCTCGGATGGATTCATTCAAAGTAAACTGCATTCCTACAGCAGCGACAGCCTGTCGAAATGCAGGGACTAGGGCCCTCCACCTAGAAGCTCCTCGACCTGTCATCGTGAAGAGTCGTATCAATAGACAACTATATCTAACCAACGAAGTGATACAGGTTCATACATTTACCATATGAAACTCTCGGCCCAAAACGCTTCACGAAAGCGGTCCAATCTCGGGTCTCAACTGCATGGGGCAGCAGACGGGCTACCCAATCCCTTATGCCTGCAATAGGGCAGGGCGGATGCCCCATAGCTGCGAACGAGAAGCAAACAAACACTATAATGAATGAAGAAGAAAAGAAAGAGTAAAACAAGTGGCGACACTTACGATTCTCGTTTCGCCGCTCCGGGAACCTAGCGGGGTCAGATACAATGTCTTCGATTTCGACAAAGAAGTACTTATGCCAAAATTTGCAACTTGCTCGGTTGTCGGTCCCAACCACCAGCCCTTTTGTCCCACAGTGCCTCAAATGCACCATAGTGCCCCTAACAAAGCTGGGTGAGAACAAGTGCAGAAGGTGGTGGATGGTAACCTCGCACCCCGCCAACTCTGCGTACTTTGTCAACAGCAGAAGTATTTTAAGCGTGTATGGGGAAAGTTGCACCGGGCAAACTTGATAGAATCGACAAAACTCCTCCGCTAACGGGAGAAGAGGGAAGGAATGACCTATTACGAAGGGGTACTCATAAAAAGCACAGTACCCAGGCCTATGGACTTCCACGAAGTCCCTTCCCGCTGGAACCATATCAATATGAGCGGGGATGTTATATTTTGTACGGAGAGCATTGATATGAACTTGTTCCGTTTCAGAGAGTATGGGGGTAGGAGTAGGAGGAGGATCTTTGAGAAAGTCACTTCGAGACATGGGGTGTCTTGGCATCAACTCCTCCACGGTGGGAAAGTTGTCTCCCTCTTCCACCGTCATGTCCCCACCGCCAGTAGGGGGATCCACGGACAACGGGTTGGCATCAGAGACCCCCTCACGAGATCGATGTGTTATAGGCATCTCTTCGACGGAAAAGGTGTTAAAATAACAAAGAAAGTTATCCCCTTCCTCCACCATCGTGGGAAAGCTGTCCCCTTCCTCCACCATCGTGTCCTCACCGCCGGTAGGGGGCGCCAAGGACAACGGGGTAGCGTCAGAAACCTCCTCATGAGATCGATGTGATCTAGGCATATCTATGGCGATGAATGTTTTAACAGAACAGAAAAAGCCAAGGGCAGCAAACGGAGAGAAAGCAAAGAGAATTGCTAGAGCAAAAGCGGGAGAGAAGGTGAGGAATAACCAAAGAAGAAATGACCAAGAGTTTTTGAAAATACAAACCCTCCATCTATTTATAGGATTGGGTGGCGCCAGAATCGAAGCAAAAGGCTGCAGAACGGCACCGAAATCGAAGCGACAAGCCCTCAGCCCCTGTCTCGAAAATACGCATAATGATGACGCATGTGGAGGTGACGTCATTTCCCGATAAGATACACCACACATGGTCTCGTTGGGCACGCTAACCTTCCATTGTTGGCCAAGTCATGACGTTTCGTGAAACCAAATTTCTCCACAGGTGTGGGCGTTGTCCGCTCATCAAGGACGCTCCAAGTCGCAATCTCGACAAGCGGAGGGACTAACTGTATGAGTCCAAATTTGGTCGACCATGGCTACTGTCAAATTCAACAAAAGATGAGGTCCTCACAGCATGACGTCCTATGGAGGACGACGACCACCGACAACGAATGAAGGACGTATGACTTTTGTAGTAGCGTAGGCCTAACAGGGTGCATTAGGAATATACTCTCGAATATTCCCTATGACATGTCTTCTAGAGTTCAGAAGGGGGTTGACCCTTATATATATAGGAGGGAAGTAACCTTGTGAGGCAGAGACTTTTTGGACTAAGAACTTTCTTTGTAATATTCATTCGACATTAGTGGTAATCATTTTTACACACTTAATCCTTCTGTTCCATGAGATCAATAGATTCTATTTACCTTGTTCATCCCTCATGTCCTTCATTCTAGAGTTTATTATACTTGGCTGAGATTTACCTTTTTATCCTCTTTAATTGATTTAACCAAAAAGGATTCAATATCTTTTGGGTCAAACAGTTATCTAACTTAATTGATCTCAATTTATAGACAGACCTTGTCTTCTTTTCTAGTGTGATGACTCTCTTCTCGCACTCCGAGTAGAGGGCGCCTAAGCCTCGAGTCTAATTGTGCTTCGGATCTCAGTTAAAGCTATAAATTTTGGTTCTCGCTCGATTCTGACAGATAATTAACAAGCGTGAGAGCTTTCATTCAATTTTTCCGGTTTTTCACTCGAAATTGTCTTTCTACTGGTTTTTACCCAAAATCTTCCGCTTCATTGCTTCAATAGTGCAAGATTAGTTCGGATAACTAGATATCCACAGACTAAGGAGCGTAAACGTGGGGAGAAATTAAAAAATAGCCAGATTTACAACTGGTCGTTCAAAAATAGCTCAGTTTCAAAAGTAATCGAAATTTAGCCATTTTTCATGTAAAGATAAATCTGAGCGAAAACACTGTTCAAAACCCAGAAAATACGCCAGTATAGTATACTGGAGTTCCAGCATAAGTATGTTTGAACTCCAGCATATTATACTGGAGTTCCAGGATAAGTATGTTGGAACTCCAGCATAATATGATGGAGTTACAGCATAAGTACACTAGAACTCCAGCATAATATATTGGAGTTCCAACAAGTATAATTGTCCAGTATAATATACTAGAGTTTGGAGCACCGGTGCTCCAATCTCCAGTATATTATACTGGACAAAGCAAAGTATACCGGTCCAGCATAATATGCTGGAGTTCATACACAGGTGCACCAAACTCCAGTATATTATGCTGGACCGGTCACTGTTGCAACAAAATAGTGGCTATTTTTCATTGACTTCGTAAACACTGGCTATCTTTGAATGACCAGTCCGAAAACTGACTATACCGTGCTATTTTTACGTAAACGTAACATCAATTAAATCTCTCCGACACTTAGACCTCTTTTCTGGAGCATGATGACTGGTAGACGACCCAAAATGTGTGGTCTGCTCGTACTAGGGGAAGGGCTCCCTCAACAGACTCTTCTCACCGAAATGGAACCTCCTCCTCTCTCACATAGTTTGATACATGAGAATTTCCTTCTTGATGGTATTTTGCAGGAAAATTTTTTGTTCCACTCGACTAAGCTCATGAGTACATAAAGTAAATCTTCATTCTATTTGAATATTTAACTCTGCATCTTGCCGTTATTTTAATCACGCTATGATAGAGGACTTAACGCTCAGAACTGTTAAACAACAACAAAATACTGTGCTGCTTTTGAAAATGCGTCAACCATTGTATACATACGGGTTGGAGACGGAAGGGAAAAAGAAAAGATAAAGGCCAGACATCAACTGTTCCTTTCGACTTTCGGAACATGCATTTTCTCTTATGAGGTCGAGGATTAAACATATTTAAACAAAAATAGGAACAGGAGCTGTGATTTTCAAACTTGGTTAGAGTTTATGATCTGGCAACTATGATTATACGAACACATTAATTCACAGTGAGCCCTCAATTTCCCTTTGAGAAAGCTATGAAGTCAACTCTAATTATTATGCCTTCACACGTTCAGACACAAGCAACAGAATCGCGCAAAATCCATCTGCATTTAACTGAAAATGTTCTTTAAGTTTGACTGAGCCCAACCAGCAACTTTCAAACTTGTTAATTTGAACAATATTTTATGCTTATATTATGAAGAAAAACATCTCCTATTGCCACATTCAGTAATCTTCCCCTATTCCTCAGGGAAAGTTACTTTCTAGACTGCACCACTTTGTAAGAAATTTGTCTTGGACAGTCCACTAAATTCTTTTTAGAAAAAAAGAATAATAACAAGGCACAAGTCTTCTAACGCACCACAATCCTAATACTAAGCTCCAATAACCACTACAAAGTAGGATCGGGTATAGCACCGGGAAATTGCTTCATAAAGGTTTTAAGACATTCCATGTAATAGTGGATTTTCATATGTTTGATTTATTATTGAAAGAAGCTTAAGAAAATCCTTCAAGGAGGAAACCAACTGATCTTTATAAAAGGTAAGGTAAAACAAGGAATGCAACGCACTGTGACAGTCCATCCATAAGCCTCTCAAGCACTTGAATGCAGTACAAAATAGATTATTCTTCTGTTTTGGGAGGCCCCTTCCACTTGAAGTTTTCCGCGTACGACTTGATCTGCAAAATAAAAACAATTTATTCTGCAAGTGGAACATGGATCGCAACAACAAAATTGGAAGAGATAACGAATTAACTAAGGCCCATGTGCTAAGGTTCTTGCTAAGGTGCATGCGCTTTAACTGAATAGTTATGCTATGTTTTTCCAAGTTCTTTGAGGCAATCAATCATTAAACATACAAGACTTTAAAGTGCTTGTGCTTTAAGACAAATTGTTCTCTACCTCAATTCCTATGAGACAATCATTAGTAGAAAGTACTCTGCCTTTGTATATCTGTGGAAATAAGAGATTTGAGAATTGTGTGTGATGGGAAGGTCCCTTTCAGAAAAACAGGAACAAATACTTCTAGACCAGTAAAGGTTCTCTCTCCACCCCACCCCACCCCCCAAAAAAATGCACGTGTCTCCAGAAAACCTACTTGAATTTCCTAAGCAAACAGTGGATCATGAGTTTTCACAATCCCACGAGGAAACAAACCAGCATACATGTCTGAACCAGAGCTGCTGGATTGGGCAAATCACAAATTCAGTTTTTAGTAGAAGAGATTTCAAACCTTTAATAATGGTGTATGGCGCTTCCTAACCTGCAGATAAAAACAAAAAGAATGGCATAAGCATCACGTTAAGAACCAAACATAAAAGTTATTCTGTTCATTTCTCAAGATAAACGAAAACGTTTCCAGAGCAGCAGAAAGAGGGGAGAGTGCACAGAAGAGGGACCCAACAAAAGACCACAATGTCAAAAATTCAACATACTCCTCTAAAAGCTCTTCCCATTTCAATTTCTGATGTTGAGGCTCAAGCTCAAAGGCTATGTGATTTTGCTAGTGATACTGGGGTTCCTCTTGTTCTACTTTCTAGCATATTAGATAGTGATTTACTTAATTCATCTGTTGGTGGAACATAAATGTGATCAAGCCAGCTGCAGCGAGAAACTATCCTATGCTGGTCAATTGATTAGTTCTACTTCTATCAGATTCAACATCTGACTTCCTTGTTGAGACTGGATTTTGTTTGTCTAGCTGTTAGTGATACAAAGATTTTCCCAACTTGTATTCTAACACCATATTCAAGTCAAACACTTCTTTAATGGACGGATATTATTTCATTGGCACATAACTTTTCCATATTGCAAGACCTGTTGGGCTCGCATAGAGGATTAAAAGCCGAACGGTCAAAGAACTTTTTGGAGGTGCCAAAAACTAAATTTCATAAAAATTCACGCTTTTCCCAACATGGAGCATTTGAAGAACTTGCTCATAATTGGACAGAGAAGGCTTCCCCAGACGTGGAGTATTTGAAGAACTTGTTCATGATTGGTCCAAGGGGGAAAGGTGAAACGGCCCAACTCAGTCCGCCTTGGCTGATGCTTCTAGAAGGTGTTTTCTGTTAATTCCAGAATACATGTGAAGGAACGGAAAACCAACGAAGGTCATTAAGCTAACCAAAAACACAATAGAAATGTTAAGGAACTCTAAGCTGTACCGTGTATTCCCAGCCATGCTTTTCAGCAAATGCTTTTGCAGCTTCTTCACTCTCAAAACTAAGCGCGGAATCACCAACATTGGCATATGGATCCCCTGTGGATGTCCAACCCATCAATGGATTCTCCCATCTACATATATAGAAGAAAGAAATATGTGTATCACCCTTCAACATAAAACTTGGGCATAAAAGATATGCAGAAGAGCTGAAAATTGACATTAAACTAAAAGCAGGTGAGAAAACAACATTTACATACTTCAATTGGAGGGAAGAGCACAAAAGAGTTTGCCTTTAGAGTATATTATTTTATTTCAAAATAGCATGAGATGATTCAACTAGCATCCTCTATTCCAGTTCTCATGAAAGAAACATTCTTCAGCTTAAATTGTACTTATATAAAAAAGACAAGGGAAACAGACCATAAAGATAAATTAACAATTCAGCAGCACAAGAAATTTTTCAACATTAGCAATTTCCGTAAGAGGTAACGAGACATTTCAACAGACCCTATTGAAAACAACATCAAGAACGAAATTTTAATTCCTTGGATTTAAAAAAATAGAAAAGAATAAAGAAATTAATATTATGACAAAATCTAAAGTGCAATTAGTGGAGCAAATCAAGACAGCATATGCGAATGATTTTTAAAGAAAAGGAATCTGATAGAATCCTAAAGTTTAAACAGGTAAAAGACTTTACTTGATCAAGAAAAAAAAATTAAACACATAAAAGGTATGGATCTTCGAACTTAACATATAGAAAGACTACAGCTCTAGTGATGCTATGTCGCCAATCTATCCACCGTTTAAAAACAAAGTTGATCTCTCCATTCTAAAAGATACAGGCAGTTGCAATCAGAAACTCGAAAAATAAAATAGTTTGCTCTGCATAGAGGAGAGTATGCAGCCATTGTCCTTGACCCAGATTATATGTGCTTTTCTCTCAGCATCTTCAGATATGGATATACATTTCTTTAATCAAAACAGCACAAATTTTCTCATCTTCAAAAAAAATACAAAGAAAGTAGGTCTGGTTAAGCTGAATTTAATGGATCGGGTTTTTTCTCTATTGAAGTTTAAATAGGTATGATCTTTACAGCAGAGCAAGAACTCAGGAATCCAATAAGTGGAACTCCTATTAGTGATGCCTTTCTGAAAAGCCCGACTACTTAAAACCAACCTGCTTTCCTTATTATGTCCCTCCATAACCAAAAAGCACCATTGCCAGATATACAGAATTGTATTAAATAAAAAATAAAATGGAAGAATGAACCACATCTGGATACATTATATGAACCACTGGAGGCAAATAAATCAACAAATTTTTATCCTTCGCAAGAATACACTACAATCAACACTGAAATATCTGTTCTGGTCTAAGCTTCATAGTTAATCTTTTATTTTGTGATTAGACACCCAGGCTCAGTGAAACTTATACTCTTAATGGTGCCAATCAAAGCTTTTGTTCAGGTTCTCCCTGTTTCTTGTTATGGTTTTTACTTGGGACGGAAGGAGAAGGTAGATGAGATTATAATGTTAATATTGTACAAACTCCTGCTCAATTTCATGCTGGCTGGAAATAGGTTGATATTGGTAAACCATACTAACTTCATAATACTGAAAAGGAATAGAAGCATACTTCTGGGTTGACAAGAAATTGATTTTCCATCTTCCAACTTTTCCAGACCCCTGTTGACTAGCAGTCCGAGCAGGTGAGAAAATCACAACCTGATAAGCAAACAAGATCAAGTACCAAAAAGGATCAGTACATGAGGATCTCTTTCCTTTTCTTTTTTTTTGATAGGTAGTAGTGCATAAAGATCTAAACCACCAATAATAACTGATAACAATTTTGCACTTAAAGCAGCAGAAAATATATTAGAAGGTTGAATGGGATATTAAGCACCTTTAAAGACCAAAACAAAATTTGGTATTTACTTAGGAGCTGATTTAATAGTGCAATCACTGCCACTGTGAGTTAGAGAAAAAGGAAAAGATGAACAACCAAATACATTTGTATAAATAGAAAAGAATCCAGAATATACCAAAACTGAAAGAGAGGGCAAGGCATGGACATGAAATGCAAAATACGGAATAGACCAAACTTGGCCGAAAAACATGGAGGAAACAAGGTGTCTAATAATCGCCCAGAGGGCACCACAACCCATGAATTATACTAGTATTTTTAAGTTTAAATTAATGGTTCTCAATGAATCCAACACCAGAAGTTATATCTAAGCCTACTAATTTTGAAGAGCTCTTTGTTGGCTCTAGCAACTCGAAATTTAAAAACTCTAACCCTGTCATATTATTTAATGCAATCACATGCAAGCTGAAGTTATGCTCCCTAACTAAAGTTTCTATAATGCCAAGCTAGAGACTGACGTTAAGGCTTTAGCCTTGCTAAGCCCGTTTTGCTCCTAAACATGAAAAATTAGAACTTTTTACTTCTCTCAAGCATCTGAGCAAGTTATGCTCTCTTCTGCCTCATTGAATAGGCGTGAGAAGAAGAAACGAGTGGGAATAAAGAAACAGCTAAATATATATTTCTAGTCTTTGGAATGGAGTCGAGATAAATTCTCAAAGATACAAGTGATAGCAATCAATCAACTAAAACAATCCCAAATCAATTTGAAACCGGATATATGAATCCTCCACATCGATTCCTGAATTCATTTGCTAACCCTAAAATGGCGGAACCAATGGATCTGCTATAGAAACCCTAAATGGGTTGCGTAAAATGAAGTTTTTCTTGCACCGAAATGACCTGAGAGAAGAATAAATATTAGCCTAGGAGCATAAGGAGAAGAAGTAAATACCCTTCGGCGAAGATGTTCATCAGGAATACCAGAGACCATACCGATCTCACCGGGCTTGATTTCGACCAACGCTTCTGACGCAAATTGTCTCCATATCGGCGTGAGAGAAGATCGGTAGGCGGCTAGAGGGGAATGCCTCGCTATTCGCTGCAGAGAGCTTGCCATTTCCCTGAGATATCCGGCTGAAGTGATGATTACCAGAAAGATGCTTGCTCTTTGTATAATTTTTATTTTTGACGGCAAGGCCGTGTTTGTCTTGTGTAATTCACGCATAATGTCCTACTCTCACGACATGCTACTGTTGTTTGTTACTAGGGTCTTCATAAAAATCCGAAAACTCGAACCAAACCAAAAATCAAATCAAACCGACCAAAAAAACCAATACCTTTTGGGTTTTTTGGTTTTGATTTTGAAATTTAAAAATCGATCAAATTTGGTTTGGTTTTGGTTTTAATTAAAAAAACCGAATCAAACCGAATATAGGAGTTGCTATTTTAGATTTATTATTACACGTATATATATGTATATTTTTATACAAAGTTTCAAAAATTTTGTAGTAAATGTTAATCGTTTGCACTTTTAGTACAGTTCTTTACCTTTACATTCTAGTTTGAATGATAGTTTTCTTTTGTTAAGTGTAAGAATCTATTTCGTGTTAAAAATAATATATTTTTAATTAAGTCCTTAAATTATTCATCACTATTTGATTCAATTATCATCAATATATCTTGGTAAATAATAGATTTCTCCAAGTACCTTGGATTGGTTATTCAGGGGACCGGGGAGATTGACGAGGATGTCACACACCGTATAGGGGTGGGGTGGAT